CGAAATCCATCAGTTAAAAATATTACTTCTACACCTTAAATTTATACTGTTTAATTAGCATGCGAGTTTATTTATCAATAATAATTATAATAGCTGTAATATAGTTCAAATTTAAGTTGTTTTGCATACTACTCTAAATTTCTCCCCACTAATCCGTCCCTAATAATTTAATTAAGATATGAGTTTAATTTTTATAGATTGTCAATGTAAAACTTTTTACCCATTAATCAACAAAAAAAATCATAACAATAAGTGAGATTTTAAAATAATTATTATAACAATCAACAAATCATTATATATAATATTTAATAATTACCAATTAATTAACAATGTTAAAACTATAATTAATACTCTTATTAGTAAATAAATCATGACAAAATAAATCATTAAGATTGATCTAATTATAAAAATATTGAGGTAACATGTATAAATTTTAAATTTAAACTTTGTTATTGTAATTGTAATTATTATAGGTAAAAAAGATTATTAACAAAATTTAAGTACAATATGATAAATATGAACAAAACTTATGATATGCCCTGAGAAAACCACCCAGCATCAACTTATTATAAAGGAAAATTATCAGAAGAATGTCCTAAGAAAACTTATGATATCACACTCACACATTTAACCTAAAATAAAACGCCGTGCTGACTGAAATTAATACATTCTAAATAGGCTGTATCGAGTCCTAGTTTTGCCAAAACAAAACAGGGAGATTGCGAAAGTCGAATGGATTCAAATGACGTGTATCTTAAAAATTGAATATGCATGCACACACGTAAATATTCATTTTATAAAATTCTCAAACGTGATTAGAAAGAAAGGATTTCCTGAGTTTATTATAAAATTGGTAAATATTAGGGGTCACTCATCAGCCTCCCTTTGTTAGTAAAAGAAAAGAAAACCAGTTTAATTTTTTGATCATCTTGTGGAAGAGATTATTTTTATAACACAAATAAATTCAAAATTCGTTTTGTTGGTTTCATTGTTGCTCCGATTGCAAATAAAAAGAACACGATGAAGACTAAATTTGGACGCAGTCCAGAAATAAAATTCCGATGGAAGTAGTAAAGTGGATCCCACAATGAGACTCACTCTTCTTCTTCACGAGTCATACCATTCATCTTGCCATGCCACAAGTTCATACACAAAACCTCGTAAACTTCTTCCTAACCAACTGTGGCGGATCTAGAATGCTTACTCAGTGGAAAATAAAATATTATTATTATTATAGGAAAAAACAAAATATGTGATAAAATGAAATGTCGAATTGAATAAAGCATAAGTATTCAGAAAACTAAAAATAGACCAAAAGAGAAAAAAGATACTCATATACATGAAGGACAAATTTTGATAATAGAGTAACAAATTAGAATCAGAGAGTTCAAATACACAAATATAGGGCGAAAAAATACAAAAAAAAAAAAAAAAAAAAAATGGTTGGTTCTCTCTTGTACTTAACAACGTCAAGACTCGACATCATGTTCAGCATCTGCGTCTATGCTAGGTTCCAAGTATGACCTAAGGAGGTACACTTACAAGCGGTTAAAAGAATTTTAAGATATCTTAAAGGAACACCTAACCTAGGCATCAGCTTCTATAAAAGCCAGAATTTTTCTCTTCTAGGATATTGTGATGCAGATTATGCAGGAGACAAATGGGAGAGAAAAAGCACTAGCGGAGGATGTCATTTCCTTGGACGCTGCTTGGTTTCATGGACTAGCAAGAGGGAAAGCACGATTGCCATCAACTTGTGAAGCTGAGTATGTTGCCGCAGGACAATGTCTTACATAGCTGCTCTGGATCAAACATCAACTAGAAGACTACGATAGTTACGAAAGTAGTAATCCTGTACTCTGCGATAACACTGTTGCTATTAACATTTCTAAAAATCCTATTTTGCATTCTAGGACTAAGCATATAGAGATTAAACATCATTTCATTAGAGATCATGTGCAAAAAAGAACATTTGAACTGGTTTATGTTAAGACTGAAGAACAACTAGTTGATATCTTCACCAAACCCCTTCAAGAAGATAGATATGTCTGGTTGAGAGATAGACTAGGTATGGAATTGATAGATGATTAATAGTATATCATACTCACCCTCTATTTCTTTTTTATGATCACAAAGGGGGAGAAAAGAACACAAAATCTATCAAACTAAACCGTTCACTAAGTAAGGGGGAGAGCATAGTCTAAAGGGGAGGAACCTTATGACCTTAAGAAAATGAACATAATATGATATCTTCTTTGTGCTCTGTACTGTGTCTAATACAAAAATACTTTATATGTATAAACATGTATGAACTAGATAGATTATGTTTTAACTTTGAAGGGTTCGTATTTTACTGTAATTTTTTTGGTTGCATGCGTGTTTTGGTTTCACTGTGGGTTGTTTTGGATAATGCCTCAAAAGTGTGATTTTGGATAATGCCTTAAAAATCACGTGGTTTTGTTGAGAATATAGAGAAATAGATGAAAGGTGTTGCTGGATCTGAGAGTGGGGACC